GAAACTAATTGATTTATGAGAACAAAATATCTAATTATCTATCGATCTATCTATATGTGTATATAATGATGGAAAAGTGCAACAATTAAATAGGAAAAGGAATTAGAGAGGAACCTCGTTGTAGGGAGTTACCCACATGGAGGGAACCTATGGCGCCTTTCTGAAGCGTGCATCTGGTAGGGACTCGATCGACATGGACCCACTTGATCCACATGTTGAATGTCTACAGCGTCGCTAGACTTAAATTGCAATGTAGCAATTGAAGACATCTCACTTAATCAACTAATCGACTAATATTGAATTAATAGATGGTCAAACTAACATCAAACCATATGTCCTACCTAAAAAATAAAACGGATGGAAAAAAAATCGAAGACCTCCAAGGCTCCAACTGTATATTATTTGAAACTTTCTTTTTGTTTTTGTCTTTCTTGTTTTGCTTGATGGGGGAAGGTCATACCCATAACCCCCAACCAAGTGACAGCTGCATTTGATCCCATTTCTACTTTACAAACAGCCATCTCCCCCCAACATACTTGCCTCCAAAAAACGTCCCACAAAACCGGAACGCAACGTGTGTCATGACATACGTGCATTAAGCGAGACACGTGCAAAATCCATTTTATGCCGTGAAATGCACCTCTGTTAACTCCTTTCTTACTCAAAAGCGTTTCTTCTCCCATATTCCTCTATTCTATTTGGAACTGAAACTCTTGGTGCCGGACACCTTTTGTGACCCACTCACCAGAGATTAATCCGGTTGACACCGACGGCCATACCGGCAGGAGGTAAGTACTCTATAAGTTTTTCTCATTCGTTTTCTAACATTCAAAGATCTGAACCCGCCGGAGTGGGAGCCCCTTGACGCCGTTTCAAACTTTTGACACCCCCGGAATTCGAAAGCCCTTAAATATTCGAAACTCTCCGATCATAAGCAATTAAAATTCATAATGGTAAACAATTAAAATTCATAATGGTAAAAAGTAGTTTGGAAGGAAACATAACTGCCATGCTAGGAACTGTTGGTATGTTTCAACACATTGATTGTAAGAGGATATGGCTGACAATTTATGTTGATTCAGCATGGAGCAATCTACATCAGATGAAGTTCGGGAGCAGGATATAAAGAGAGAAGCCAGAGATTTGAGTTTTTTCAGCAATTGGTCCTATCAACCATTTTCTAAAACCCTCTGAAAAACTTGAGCGGGTTATCAGAAAAAGTACCCAAAAAATGCAGTGATATCTTCGAAATACCTTGTTTATTGCTCATGTATGCATTTAGGTAGCTGTTATGTCTGAAAGAGGGACTTTGGTAATAACCAAAGACCAACAATATTTCTACTGTTGTAGCAAGACAATGTATATTTATTTGTATATCTGTAGTAGCAAGAGTCATAGTGTTGTGTGGCAAGTACTCAATAGATATATACTCTCATCAACACTGATGCTCCTTTAAATCTTTGCTTTCCATTGTTGTTACATGATGTTTACAGATATGACTTCCAGGTCTAAGGCTGCATTTGGCATTCCTTGTTTTAAGGACTCCTTTTTGCGGTTAAAATGCCCCCAACGCCAAAAAGAGGTAAGTCCTTGAAATAAGGAAAGGCAAATGAAACCTAAGACTTACAAATTTTTACCATTGCTGAAACCAACTGCCTCTTTCGAGAGAGAGAGAGAGAGAGAGAGTATTATGGTGTAGATACTAATAAAGAGAGACGGAATATTGACAAAGAACCTTTAAAATTTCATGAGAGAATACATGACAATCATTACAAAGGGAATTATGATCAAATTCATTTGTCGCAACTGATCTCTCAGTTTCAGCAGCATCCTCTTCTTCCTCTCCCTCCGTTGCCTCTGCTCCACGACTGGATCAGAAGCCAGTACTAGTGGTGCAGCAGGAGCAATATAATTTTGTCTTCTTTTCTTTCTCTTGTAAATGAAGCCGTCGTCGTTGCACAACTCCCACTCCTCCTCCCAGGCTGTTCCAGCCATGGCCAAGTGCCTCAAGTCAAAATTCAAATTCCGGAGAATTTCGAATTTTGGAGGGCTTTCGAATTCCGGAGGTGTCAAGGGTTTTAAATGGCGTCAGGAGGTTCCCACTTCGACGGGTTCAGATCTGTGAATGTTAGAAAACGAATGAGAGAAAAAAAATATAAGAAATAAGAAAAACTTACAAAGTACTTGTCTCTTGCTGGTATGCCCGTCGGTGTCAATCGATGGAACTCGACCGGGTTAATCTCCGTTGAGTGAGTTACGAAAGGGGGCCGATGCTAAAACTTTCAGTTCGAAGTAGAATAGAGGAGTATGAGGAGTATGAGAGAAAAAACGCTTTTAGGCAAAAGAGAAATTAACGGAAGTGCATTTCATGGCGTAAAATGGATTCCACATGTGTCTCGCCTAATACGCGTTTCATGACACGCATCGCGTTCTGGTTTTGTCTGAGGGACAAATATGTGGGGGGCAGTTGCGAATCCGCATTTAAGTAGCAGTAGTGTCACCGATCCAGATCATAAGAACTAGCTAGGGTTTTTATTGGCAGGCTAAAAATAATAGAATTGAATAAATTGAAGACCGAAGAGAGAGAGACAGAAATAGACATTATTAAATTAAGATCTTAATCTTGAAAACATATATGGATCATTGATTTTATAAGTCCAAAGGGGAGGCCTCGGCCAATGATGTAGAATTAGTTTCAGCATCCTGAATAATACAACTCCAAGGGGGATTACCGGTTGCCGATTAGACTCCTCGGTTCCAGCATCATTGATTGCCATCGAGAATCTTCAATCCTCGACTGTACAACTCCAAGTGTTTTTTGAGTCCTGTTTTCTCTTTCTGTGGCCGATTGAACCGGCTAGCCCATGTTAATGGTGGGTTCATACGCTAATAATAACAGCGGGTTGGGCCATGAGGTCGATTAAAATTGGTGGTTCACACATCCGATTAAGGGTATCAATAGGATTGGATTTGGTCCAATCCATTCCAATCCAATGTGAGCCCATTATAAATGAGCCAAGATTAATCTAATCCAATGAATGTTTTAGATAAATTTGGACAGGTCCAATTCAATGTCTGGACCATCCAATCTATTTAAATTTATTTTAATTTAGATTGGTTTTAACCCAAATCTGATTCATTGATACATATATTTTTATCTTATATTAATGGACCAGATATTGGTTTAATCCAATCCAATCCGATATAAATTTATTATCAAACGGATCAGGTCATATTCAATCTAATAAATATTTTTGACTCAATTGATCCAATTCAATATGTATTATTGGTCTATCCATTGGACGGGGTTCAATCCAAATCGATCCATTGACACTTTTACGTCCAATAATCCACCGATGCGCAGAACGTGGAACTTACTGAAACTTACTTCCTCAGCCTCGCTGACGTGAAACCTCCTCTCTCTCTCTCTTCCCCTCTTAAGAATTAAAGAGTAGGCATTAGCCTTAGAGTTAGAGCTACACGACGCTTCGATTTTCCAAGAGTGCCAGTTCCAATTTTGTGATTGGTTTGGACCAAATTCTAATACTAAATACCGAGATTCTCTCTCTCCATCCTCATCTCATTTATTCAGGGAACTGTTGTGCATTAATTACACGTGTTAAGGCATGTGTAGATGCCATGCATTTAAGTTTGCCCAACTCATAATAAATGCCATCATGACCATTGGAGCGATTTACTTAAAAGAAGCTTGATCATGTCATGTCAGTGCCCATATGATTTAATTAATCAATATTTTATCTTCTAATTATTATTCATTACATCTCTTGTTTCAATTAACTAATTAATTCAGTGGTGGAAAACAAAACGCCTGGACTTGGATGACCAGAGTCAGAGTCAACAAGTATAATAACCAATAAGCTCAATGTTCTTTGGAAGCAATTCAATTCAATGATATTATAATTAATAAATATATGCATTTCTCTTGTCATCTATAAATGCAATCACATCTCATCCCAATTCCCAATTCCCAATTCCCATATCCCATGACCCATGTGGATCATACGATTTACATACAAATTACAAATGCATCTATCATTTAAGTCTCACATAATAATAATAATAATAATAATAATAATAAATAATAATAATAATAATAATAATAATAATAATAATAATAATAATAATAATAATAAAGAAAAGAAAAAAATATAGTATAAAACAAACACACCAATATAGGAACGGCAGGTCCACCACTAATTGAGGGCCAGAAACCATGCAAACACAATGAAGATTATATTTTGATCAATAAGAATGGGAATGACAACACAAAGTAACTGTTCTACTCCTTAATTCAGTACACATTACCTTCTATATAAAAAAAAGCATTGTTTTCACTTTTCACCAAACAGATGCCTCCTTGCTTTTCCATATAAAGAGGGTGGGTCCCATTATAACATTCAATAAAAACAAAATACATGATGATCGGACTATAGATGCATATTGTCCTTTACTTACCCTACTCTTCAATTCAAAATTAAAGAGGCCAGAAGCTTATTAACATTAATAAGGACCAGTCTTAAGTCTTTAACACCGAGAGTTACAACTTTTGTACTACATACATTAGGGCTCCGTTTGGTTTGGAATGAACTATTTTAATTTTAATTATTTGGTTGAATGGATTTGGAATTTCATTCTTATTCTTGCTGGGATGGCATTCTCCCATTTAAGAAAATGGTCATTTTCTATATTTTCTTTGGGAATAAAAATTCATTTCTGCTGATTCTAATTTCTATTCTCATTCTTGTCTGAACCAAACAGATTATGGGAATAAATCATTTTAATTCCGATTCCCATTCTTATTCCAACTACAAACCAAACAGACCCTAAATTCTTTACCTTGTTAATTTCTTCGTACAATTATTAAACCCATAAATTAAACTTCCGATTTTGGATGTATAAAGAATCTGAAAACAGTTCTCTATTACACCTATAAACGGTAGTCCTTCTCTCTCTCTCCCTCTGTGGTTTTTACTATCATCTAGGATCTAGTTAGGATGGCGCTGGTGATGACTGATGGAACCCCGAAAAAGGAGCTAAATAGAGGAGCGTGGACAGCTCAAGAGGATCAGAAGCTCGCTCAAATTATTGAAGTTCATGGTGCAAAGAGGTGGAAATCAATTGCAGCCACAGCGGGTGGGAGCCTGTTACGTTGCAGAAAAGAAAAGTCCAACTATCTAAGCATACATATTACCTTTGCATTCTGAGCTTCATTATTAATTGCATACATGTTCTTGCAGGTCTCAACCGGAGCGGGAAGAGTTGCAGGTTGAGATGGATGAATTACTTAAGACCAAACATCAAGAGAGGCAACATTTCAGACCAAGAAGAAGACTTAATACTCAGGCTTCATAAGCTGCTGGGAAACAGGTTAGCACTGGTTTATGAATCCACATTCTAACTACAGTAGCTGCAGTTTCTTCTTTTTAATGATTTGAGTCTAACTGATGATGATTATTAAAAGGTGGTCTTTGATTGCTGGACGGTTACCGGGTCGAACGGATAACGAGATCAAGAACTACTGGAATTCTCACTTGAGCAAGAAAATAATAAACCAGCAGACAGAGGAGAAACCCAGTAGAGTTGCAAGAACAACAACAACAACATGTTGGTCTAAGCGTCGGAAAACCTGTGATTCGGAGAAGGATCAAATACAGGTTACCGAGGATGGCACCTCCAAGGGACATGAGGGCTCAGTGAACAATATTGATGTGGATGAGTTGCTAGATTTCTCTGTTGAGGGGCCTTTAATGAGCTTGGAGTGGCTGAGAAAATTTAGTGAATTCAAGGAGTGTTTGTGTGGGTTTTCATGAAATTAATTTGATATATTCTTTTTTCCTTTAATTGTTATTTTGTCTTTGAAATTATTCGCATTCTTTCTACTGCATGTTCTTGTATTGAAGTTGGTTAATCAGAATGAATATAATGCAGATATATTGTCAATGTTTTTGTACAATTTATCGACCGAGCAAATTAAATGTTGGGATGGGTGGACCCTCATCATCATGCATGTTCATGGATCTCTATTATGAATTTAGAGATGTATGGCTCAAATTCACAACGAATAGAGAGTGGATAAGAAAAGTTTGTAGGAAATTTGGGCTCGTTTCGTCCGCGCAACTATTCAATTGAGTATATATCTTTAAGTGAATGGGTTCCAATGTGGTAGGTAGGGGTGGCAATGAGCCGAGCTTTTCACGAGCTGTTTGAGGCTGATTTGTGAAAAGCTCGGCTTGGCTTGGTTTTAGCCAAACTCGAGCTCAATTCAGTGTCTCGATTATTAAACGAGCCAAGCTCAACTCTACTAGAACTCGACTTGTGAGGCTCACAAATTGGCTCGAATATATATATACATATATATATATATATATATATATAATAAAATATTTTTATAAAATATAAAACAAGCTGAACCGAGTCGAGCTCAAACTTATAAACTTTAGACTCGAGCCGAGCTCAAACTCAAAGTTCTGAGTCAAACCGAACTTGAGCTCAAATTCAAACCTAATACTATTTGATTGGCTCGACTCAAATCCACCCCTATCGATAGGACTAGAATGAAGCTTATCTTATCTATGCCAACATATCAACGACTTAACCCGATTACATATGAATTATAAATTCACAATCTAATTACAAGTCAATACTTGTTATATATATATACTAATTAACACGTACAAGAGACTGAAAAACTTGAAGCCAACTTGCTTGTGAATCACACAAGGACCAATAAACCAGTCATATTGTGCAGTAGAATAGTGTCACGTCGAGTCCACGTTGACCGGAGAAGGAATACATAACGTTAACAGCCAAAGTCCCGTTAGGATGGATTCGGTGGTTCAACCGGACACAAATTGACCACAAAATGACAAAATAGAAATCAAAAGGAATGACAAACCTCCGCTGCAATCTAGATTTTCTACTCACTTTTCCTATTCACTCTCTACCCGCCCTGAATTTCAGCCACACATCTCCCGACTCAACTCAATCGAAGATCATCTAACCATTGAATTTAATCTGGATTTTCAATTATTTTCCCACCTTACCGAAACCTCAATTTCCTTTCTTCCTGCCAAAGTTTTCTCTGACGCTATATACTGTTTTAATACGAAATCAGAATATCATTTCCGCTCTCAACTTTTAATCCAAAATCACCTGGTTTTCTTACTTTACAAATTAAAACTCACGGAAATAAAATTTCAGTTTTTTTTTTTTTTTAGGGAGGGGAGTTCTGTACATGTCTTCTTACAAATGAGCCTGAATAGTCAAGCATCTGGCTCAATTTTCTTTGAAGCGAGAGTATTTTCCGTGTTCTTTGTTCAAATTACAGCCTTCGAAATCACCAGTAAAATTGCAATATATCTTTGCTTTTCTACATTTTCTGATACACTGAAATTTTCCGGCAAGGAATAAATTTTCTGAATGATTTTTCGATGCTCATTTAACCGATTCTTACATTCTAGCCCCTCAAGAAAGAAATAACCGATTTGCGATAAGAGTAAAGGAAATCTTTCTTTTTTTTTTTCCGTTGTGTGTGCGTTATCTTAAAGCTGAGGCTGTTTTCTTATTCCAGATGTTAGAGGAGTAATGTCATAAATACATTTAAAGCTTTCTATCCTATTTAATGAAAGAAAAATCCAATCAGATGGTTGGCAAATTCCATACCTTTGTCTTAATTTAATGTCCTTACCGAATTCGATTCAATCTTACTTCCTGCTTCTCTGCACACATTGATTTATTCTCATATTAAACTCTCATTGAAGAAGAAGAAGAAGAACCAATTATTGGAGATTCCTTTATTTATTTTCTTGTTTCTGACCTCGTCCTGGAAGCTGAGTCCTCACCGTCACTAATCGATACGAAAATGAAATCATGTGAAACCAGAATCAATATCTTCGCCAAATGCATTATCTTGTTAACATGTACGCCCTGGATTGTTTACTTGGTGCCGGAGAAATGCCTTCTCTGGCACATGACCTTCGTTCCTAATGCAAAAGCTCAGGGCGCAGGCAAGACTTCGGCGGAAACTACTCAAAATTTCCGGTTTTTCTTTTCTTTTTTTTTTCCCATTTCCTTCTTTTTCCTGCAACTTTAATCTAATCCGGTGGATATAGATTTCAGTTTACCAACTTTTGGTCGTCTCCCACTCTCTCTTACTTTGTCTGCTTTAGTTTGTCTGGGCGGAAGTTTGCCTGCGTATCATCTCCACAGAGGAATCAGCTCTGGGCACGTAATTGGCTTTTACAATTCGAGGTAAAAGGGATTCGTATTAAAAAATTAGTTTTCCATCGTGAAGGTGCATTCTTCTATAACAATCGGACATGAATCAACAGAGGCCCGCCTCTGGCTCTGGCGCTGCTGGAACAATAGTTTAGCAGTTAGTGTCCAGTTGAACCGCCGAACCCATCCTAACCGGAGTACCGGACTTTGACTGTTTACGCGTTCCTTCTCCTGATCGATGTGGACGAAAGCGATTCGCGGGTTCACTCGTCCAGTGCACCCATGGGTGCACAGAACGCGAGCTCCCTATTTTCATCTCTCTCTCTCCTGTGAATCAAGTATCTTAGCATTGCTTTAATCTCTCTGTCCAGATTCTTTTTCTCCTCTGGTTTTTCTTTATCGGTATAAACCTGTATAAATTAGAAGCCCATTCATTGGTTGGAGCAGTACGTACTTGGTCGATCTTTCAATTGGATTCGTGTAAAGTAGGTACCGATGATGTTAACTAATGAAATAGCAGGAGCCAGGACGAGAGGGGACCACAAACCTGGTATATACAATGATGGAGGGCCAGCTCACCAACCGACCACAGCACTCTCATTGGATAAGTATTAGAGGGCGGTGGCCATCGGACGGTGGATATCAAAGGCTGCTTGAAGAAGATTTCGAAGATGTCTATCGGAGTAGTTTTAGTTGTTTTAGTTGTTTTGTAACTTTAACTCTTCTATTTATTCTACAAGTATGTACTATAAATAACCCTCTTTTGAGTTAAGGACACACAAGAATTCGCCAACTTTTCTCTCTCTTCCAAAGGCTCACGCCTAGTTTACAATCGGTTTCACGACGAAGCCTCGTGTTCGCCCGATGCTTGTATAGCCAATCCAGTTTATTGCTTTCACGCTGTATCAGGTGGTATCAGAGTGGGAGTTCGTCCAGTCAGATGGCCAACTAAGACGGTAGCAGTCGCAACCAACCCCATGATGGAGATCAGGGGTTACAAGCTGTTTGGAGAGCAATGGGAGAGCAGTGCACAGCCACGCGTAACATTGAGCAGTAGTTGCCAGAAATCGCTGGACAATTGCGGACCTTGTTGCGGGAGGATGTTCCAAGGAACCGGGATAACCTGTACCCAACCGTAGGAGATGACCACGGTAGACCACTCGTCAACCCCATACCCCGGAATCCTGTTCTTGATGATGATAGCGACGATGAACTAGAGCTCGGCGTTGCTCCAGTTCTTCCCGGTGACGACAGAAACAGTAGGAATTGGCGCAACCCTGGCAATTTTAATCATTGTTGGAATCATGATGAGTTTAAACTCAAGGTAGATATTCCTACTTTTAGTGGGGATCTGGATATCGAGGGCCTTCTAGATTGGATCACCGAGGTCGACCGTTTCTTCGAGTACATAGAGATCCCAGAAGAAAGAATGGTGAAATTAGTAGCTTTTCGATTGAAGGGAGGAGCATCTGTCTGGTGGGAACGAATGAGGGAGACTCGGATCAAAGAAGGAAGAGGTCTAGTTCAAACTTGGAGGCGCATGAAGCAGTTAATAAGTTGTAGATTTTTGCCCCCTGATTATGAGCAGTATATGTTTGAATCATATCAACGATGTGCACAGGGAACAAGAAGCGTAAACGAATACACATCAGAATTTCTGAGATTGGTTGAACGAAATCAGCTATCTGAAAGTGATAACCAGCAGGCAGCCCGTTATCTGAGTGGTTTGAGACCTGCTATCAGAGACAAGATTGGCGTCCAGATGGTTCTCACTGTGTAGGAAGCAAGGAACTTAGCTTTGAAAGCTGAGTTAATGTTTCAAGAAAGGACCCGAGTCGATAGCTACCGACGGTACAGTGGGAGCGACAACAGACCGGCAACAGTTGACAAGAGCAAACCAGCCCCGGGAGTACAACCCTCCCACCCGCTGAATATAGCTAATGCCAGTAAGGCCGCCACGGGAGGGGACATTCGAGGCAACACTTCAAACCCTCCTAAACCCAGTAATCCCTATGCAAAACCTGCTCCTTTTAAATGCTTCAAGTGCAATGAAGTTGGGCATAGGTTTAGTGGTTGTCCCAGAAGGAAGGCAGTTACCATGGTAGAGAGGGAGGAGGAAGAAGATGTTGACGATGAAGTATGTTGTGGACCTGATGGAGAGGACGAAGAAGGTCCCTATGAACATGAAGAATACACATGTGTTGTGAGGAAATTTATATTGTCCCAAAGAAGCAAAGATACCACTCAATGACATCGACTGTTTCGCACTAGATGTACTGTACAAGGTAAATTATTTGATTTAATTATTGATAGTGGCAGTCAGGAAAATATTATTTGCAGGGATGTGGTACAAAAATTACAACTACTTCCTGAGAAGCATCCGAACCCATACACAATTGGGTGGATCAAGGAAGTCAGCGGCGTACGAGTGGAGGAACGCTGCAAGGTCCCATTCTCCATTGGTAAGTACATTGACGAGGTATATTGTGATATTGTGGATACGGATGCTTGGCATATTTTGCCGGGTAGGCCTTGGCAGTTTGATGCAGATGCAAAACACTTGGGTAGGAAGAATACCTCCCAGCTCGAAAAAGAGGGTGTATGCTACACCTTATTACCCA